CCTCCCCCCCCGGGCTCGGGATGAACCCGCCCCTTCCCCCCCCCGCCCGTACCAGCTCTCAGGACCCCGCCCCCGCGTGGCTCCGCCCAGCTCCTGGAGCTCTTAGCTGGGAAATCCTAGCGCCCAGCCAGTTTGCCCCTGGGGAGCCAGGGACAGCTTTGTTCCAGGGCAGCAGAGCCCTGGGCTGTGGCTTCTCCCCAGGACCGGCCTGCCCGTCTCTGTTTTGCACTCTCTCACACACTTTGCATTCCAGTAAGTTTCATCCCTGCCCTCTAACTGTGGCATTTAGTTACTAGTTTGAAAGCAAGTGCTCTCTCCCTCCCTCCCTCCCTCCCTCCTTCCCTCCCATCCTCTCCCTCTCTCCCTCTCTCCCCCCTGGCCTAAGGGAAGACTTACCCCATCTTTGCCTAGACATCGAATTGCTAGGTTTTGGAGGGAGACAGGGTGACCTCTAGCAGGGGAACCCCAAGAGGGGCTTGTTTGAGACTGAAGTCTTCTCTGGACACTGCACCTGGCCCAGGACAGAAGCCCAGGCCCGACCTCCTGTGCACCTCCCTACAGGTAAGGCCAGTTCTGTCTGCTGCCTATGCCAAGGGTACAGACTCCAGTGAAGGGTGAAGGGTGTGTGAACCATGGAGAGTCCTGTGGCGTCGTACCCCTCTTTCCTGCTCCACTTTCCGATGAAGCCCTTTTGGGGAGCTGACAAGCTATGCCTCAACTTGAGGAGGGAGATGAAATCCCACAGTGTACCTGCTTGATTCTCAGGAGCAGTGGAGCAAGTTGGAGGGAATCCATTTGAAGTTGCTCTTCTGAGAGCTGTTGAGATGAACCAGCCTCTGAGGGGCGAAAGGGACCTTGGGGAGGTGGAGTGAGGAAGAATGGCCTCCTTTCGGTGTGTCAGAGATGGACAAGTGAGTTCTCCTTCTTGGTCTAAATTTAGGGGTCTTTTCTTATCTGAGGATACCACTGGTCCTGCTCTAGAATAGAGAGGTGATTTTGTCTGTTTCTGAATATCACATTGTGTGGCAGACCAGGTTTTGGGTTCTGGTTCATGAAGCTTAACTTGGATTGATTTGTGTGTGGACAGATTCCTCAGTGACAAGCAGACCCGCTTTTCTGGCATGGAGGACCTGTGTGTGTGTGGAATGCCCCAGATCACCACACTCCCTGGCATCCTTCACCCCCTGAGTTGGTGTTTCTTTGCTGACATGGGTTGCTCTATCTTCCAGTATGCCTGGAGCTGACATAGACCTGGGAAAGTTCTGAAAAGCCACAGACCAAGTCTGCAGATCTCATTCAGATTAGTTCAGAGTTGCTCCAATAAGCTCTTCTCCAGGCTTCTGATCTGTTAACTTTATAATAAGGGAGCTGTCTAGGGCATGGCTATCTTAGCTTGCTTCTGCCTCACAAACCTGGGGAGCTGTGGAAGGCTTCCTGCCTGTGCCAGCCCTCTTTGGCACTCTGCTACAGAGAGACCACAGGAAATCACCACCCTTATGTTGCTGGGAGAAAGGTCGAGAGGAATGAAGAACTTTACTCCAGGGGTCCAGGGGACCCTGGTCATGGGCCCTTTGGAATCTTTGTAGCAGAATTGTCTTTGTTTCTTGTTTTCCTGGGATTTGTTCAAAGTTTCAGCACATTCTCAGATGTTTTCATACCTACAAAATCGCAGTAAGTGACCCACTGGCCAGTCCACCATAGGGACTGAATATTTCTAGCTGTTTTAATTACTCACCACTGTGAAGTGTTCAGGTGTGGTACATAGACGCAATCCATGGCATCCTAGACTCTCTGCAAAGTCTCCCTTGGCCAGGCTGACGAGCAGTGACTATTGCAGGCATGAACTCTCCAGTCATTTGTGGCCATTGGGATAACCCTGCAGTGTGCCGGCCATGACCAGATGACCAGGTCAAGCCTCTCCCTCTGAACCCACTGTAAGAGGGTCACAGAAGAGGGCACGTAAGTTCAGGAGATGTCTTGGGAACAAAAAGTTTACATGCGTGAAAAGATGAATAGTATCATGGGAAGGTCTGTGATGGAGAGGAAAAGACAGGTGGCCTCTGTGCTCTGGGGTGCCCCAAGGCAGAGGCACAGGCCTGTCCTTTGGAGGGCTAGTGGGGTAGTTTCATTAAACTCTGGATCTTGGGTCAGTTGAAAAAGCCATGCAGCTGACTCTAGCTAGGCAGTGAATCCCTCGCTAAAGGAGGTATCCACACAGAGTTTGGACAGCCCTTCTCAGTGCTTTTGAAGGGGTGGTCAAGCTGGGTGCATGGACCAGGTGAGCTTTTAAGGGCTCCCCCTAGCTTGGCATCCTTCTTCTCTATCCCTGAATCTCTTCCTGCCTCTCACTCTAATGCTATTGCTGCCTCTGCTTTGAGGGAGGCGAACCTGGGTATGTGGTTGCTATGGCTGAGACTATAAGTGACCTGCACCCAGGCTTGGACTTTGAATGGCCTGTGTTTATCCACATATTAGTTTATAAATGAGGGGGCGGAATTAGCTTAGGACAGGGAAACGCATGCAGAGAGAACAATTCAAAGGCCACTTTCGTGTTGACCAAAGTCCTTCTCCTGATGGGGAAACGTTTCCTCGGTACAGGCCTACATTATTGTTGCTACCTGAAAGGACCCCATCATAAGGAAGGCCCACACGGATAGGAAAGGTCTCTGATGATTGCTTTAACCAGTCGATCCAAAAACTGAAGACACACCAAGTTCCTTGACAAAAATCGATGCACAATCTGTTGAGATGGGAGGAGTGCAGTTTTCCCATTTACAGACGAGAAAACAGATCTGGAGAGGAGGGTGGCCTACCTGCTTCACCTGCAGGGTGGAGCTGGGTCTCTAGTACAGGTCTGCTGAGGCACCAAGACCAAGAGGTCAGCCCTTTGATCTTACCAGCCAGGACTCAGTGTTGTGAGTATATATACAGTGTGTCTGTGTACGCACATGTGTGTATGTTGGGGGACAGAATTAGCAAATGAGGTAGAGAAGCCAGGCTGGATCTCCTCCTTTGTACCGGAACACCTCCATGTTATGATCCAAACACCCCTTAGCTTCATTTCTTAGTGAAATCAGTCACTCACTCTTTGATCCAAGTAAGAACATCTTAGGTTGTTGCTGAATGTCCCCCAGAGAGTAGAAGAGCCTCCCTGGCTAGCTGTGCCCTCTTGAAGCGGCCTTGAGCATCTTTGGGAACATGATTTCCGCTGACTGGGCAAGGATGTGCTTTGAATGAATCCCACGGAATAGGATTTCTGGGTCAGAGGTTATGATGCAGTAATGCTTCTCAGGACACACTGGGACTGAGCATTCAGGACTCTAAAAGCCAGAGTGCCATGGATGCACACAAAGGAAGTTTTGGCAGATACCCAGGGAATGTGTGAGTGAGCGTAACTCCACCTGCCTGCCATGGTCCTGAAGACACTTTGCCAAAGGCCATGCAGAGGCCCATGACAAACCCCATCCGATGGCCTGTGCCCTTCCACCTGCTGTCCTCTGTCCACCCCCAGTCCTTAAGGATCACAACTTCTAGCTAACTCTGGCTGTGTTCTGGTAGACATTATAATACTACAAAAACAAAAACAAAAAACTCAGAATTCACACCATCTTTCGGTTGGCACTGTCTCTAAAGAGAAGCTGTCCCTGTGTTGGTACAATAGTGGATGCTGGGCAATGGCATCTGGCCTCATCTGCCCAGGAGCCAAATTGCAGGGGTACCAGAAAGACAAGAAGAAAGAGAAACAAACCACAATACTAAGTCAGATGAGATCGTATTTTAAAACCACGTCTAAAACTTCAGTTCAGCCTGTGAGAATCAGTTACAATGACTGAGCTCAGGAGATGAACTGCCCAGTGTTGTGCCAGATTTAACAATGCCATGTTTACACTTACGGTCGGGCCGGAGAGCAGCTCTCGTGTTACAGGTTCCTACCACAGTGAAATGAAGTCAAGCAATATAAAACAGAAACAAATACAAACATCACTGAAAATTTTGGCTGACTCCAGAGGGTGCTGCCAACAAATCTTCCTGCAGGAGGCCCTCTGCACCGCAGGGCACCCACTGTGGCCCTCTGCACAGTGTCCTTGCGAAGGCCCGAATCCACTGCGCTGCCTGTGTGGACTTGACAGGGCAGCACTCTCCTAAGGCAGCCTGTGGTGTCCTGTTGGACACTTGGTTACACTCTTTCTTGGTCCACATGAGTGCTCTCTCCCTGAAACTTCTGTCAGTCTTAATTGCATAATTTTAGGTGTGCTTAGAACAAATTAAATCCCTTTCCTACGAAATACTTTTGAGCTCTGTAAAACAAAAAATTACATCTTCTTGATTCTGAGGCTGAGTTCCATGTGCTCTAGAGCTGCTGCTCTCTGCAGACTGGTCCACTGAGGCACATGGATATTCCATCCCATGACTTAGCACAGGGCCCACGCATTAGCACTCCACATAAGCGTGCATATTTCTTTTTTATATTTTGTTTTTTAAGTGCATGTGTGTAAGTGCACCCGTGTCATGCAATGCTCGTGGAAGTCATCAGAGAACATCGGATTCCCCTGGAACTGGAGTTATTGACAGTTGTTAGCCACCATGTGGGTGCTGGGAATTGAACCTGGGCCCTTTGCAGGAGCAGCCAGTGCTCTTAACCAGGGAGCCATCTCTCTAGCACCATAAGTGTACATATTTCACATAAATGAACAGAAGATAAATGTATGCATTTATGTATCTCATGAAGGTGTACATACATAATTCACATTAAAAGGCAAATGTGGCAGTTAGGAAGTATTCTACGAGTGCTTTAAGCCATACAGGCGATAGAGCATGCTGTGAAAAGTACTAGGTACACTCCTGTATCTTAGCCTCCACTTACCCAGGAGTGACCTTCTAGCTAATGTCCTCCCACAGCCTTATCTGTATCCAAACACACACATCAATCCAAATCCAGTACTGGAACAACAGCTGGCAAATACAAGAAGACACACATATGTCACAGTGCCTAGCTGCGGGGAGGCGTCCCTAGATGACTTTGGGTTTGCCTGATTTGATGCTTGCTCTAAGCACATTGGGGTGCAGTGCTCTGACCCTCTCCCCTGTAGGCAGTGTTGATGGCAGAATGGAAACTGGATGGGAGGTCCCCACGCTGTTGGAAATGTATGTCCCAGGGACCCATCCGGCACCTACCTCTGTTATCGCCTGTCGTAAGCACCTGTTGGTGTGTCTGTTTGTGCCACCAGACAATGACTCTTTCCAGCCCATGAGCTCTGAGTTACGTCTCTCAGAACCACCGCCCATGCAGTGCTGGGTGCTTGAGGGACTTTGTGGAAAGGACAGGGTAAAAATGGTCATAACCAAGCACCTCTCCAGTGGAAACCTATACAAAACTTCTGGGTCGTAGTAGATGATAGATTTGTAAAGTTGCAATTTAGTTTGCATTGTAGGTAACATAAGTCAATGAGACATTGAAATTGGGAAATGCATGCTGACATGGGCCATGCCCAGAGTGAGCCTGGCATACAAGCTTAGGGAGGACCCTGTTTGCTTGCTGGGCACTCTGGTATCCTGGACAT